GGAGAAAAATTAATACGGGAGAAATTCCCCCTCCCTCACGGAATTTTTCCACCCACTTCTGCCGCCCACCTTCGCGGCTCTTCAATTAATACGGACAGCAAAACCTCGAACGCCTGACGGACGCGGTTATGCTTGTGTGATGAAAGTGCCGCCGTTCCCTCAAAGGAGCGCGAGCGAGCGCGGCGATATAATGACGATGAATGATGACGATGACGATAATAACAATGATATGAAGTCGAGTCGCGCGGCTGGCCCACGACCAGTGGTATGCGTGTACGCGTAACCGGGAAAAGGGATACGCGGCCCCTCGTACAGCCGTGTGTTTAACAAACAAACTGGTGGTCGCACAGGTGGACGGCCGCGCTTACGCGCAGCCATCTGGTCCCGCCGTGCGCCGAGTGCGAGTTCCGCGGGTCGCTTACCTCGGGGCAGCCTCGCGTCGCCGCTCGCGCGTCCCACGAATGCTCGTCCGCACGTCCCGCCGTCGTCGCCGTCGTCGTCGTCGTCGTCCAACCGAGGCACCAGGCGCCCGACCCGACCGAGGGAGGAAAAAAAACTCACTAAGCGAAGCGAACGCGCGACACGGAGCAACACGGGGCCTGACTAACGGCTGACGGCGGGCGCATACGCTACGCGGCTGTCACCACACTCGAAACTGTCATCGCAGCCAGAGAGGATCCTGAGAGCGGCCATGCCCGCGATTTAGCTGGGACAGGCGATTGAGCTGGTTTCAGCGCCTCTATGTCCACAAAACGTGGACATTGAACTACGTAGCCAATGTCCACGATTTTGTCGGTTATGTCCACGATCTTTTGGTGGTGATCCGTGCTATGTCCACGGTTGTGTTCCGTGCTATGTGCAGGAATGCGAGTAGGTTAGTTAGAAAAGGACGGACATCAATCTCGGTCGTCCTTGTCTCACCACCAGCTAACAAACACGGAGCTCGAGCGGCGAGTTTGTTTGTCTCACGGACACAGTCCCCTCTCTCCCGTCCCGTTTTTTGTCTCGCTGCGTTGCCGAAATTCAGAAAGAGGATTTCGGGCGATTTCTGGCAGCGAGATGGAAAATAGTTAAAAGGAATTTTTTCAATTTAATAATTAAATTTTATATGCTGACGTGACACGCGTGCATATGATTTATGCATAACAAATACGCGCGTGTTCAATATATTGAACAATAAATAATAAGAAATAAATGAGAATAATTAAAATAACAGAAATATTTGACGTTTTTAATTTTTTTATTTCTAAGCGATTTTATGTAAAATTTAGCTATTTTAGTTTAATAAATAGCAAGTA